GGCAGAAACGTCCAGGCCAGGCTGAAACATTCAGGACAGGCAGAAACATCCAGAGCAGGATGAAACATCCAGAACAAACTAAAACATTCAGGACAAACAGAAACATTTAGAACTGGCTGAAGCATCTAGGAGAAGCTGAAGCATCCAGAGCAGGCTGAAACATCCTGGACAGGCTGAAACATCTGGACTGAAACAGCCAGGACAGGCTGAAACATATGGACTGAAACAGCCAGGACATGATGAAACATCCAGAACAGGCAAAATGTCCAGGTCAGGCTGCACCATCCAAAGCAGACTGAAACATCCAGCACAGGCTGAAACACCCAGGAAAGGCTGAGACATCTGGACTGAAACATCCAGGACAAAGTGAAACATCCAGAACAGGCGGAAAGATCCAGGACTTGCTGAAACATCCATGACAAACTGAAACATCCAGGACAAGCTGAAACACCCAGGACAGGCTGAGACATCTGGACTGAAACAGCCAGGACATGCTAAAAGATCCAGGAAACGCTCTGAAACATCTGGACTGAAACATCCAGGACAAACTGAAACATTCAGGGCAGGCTGAGACATAATATTAATAATAATAATAATAATGTGTTATGTGATGTCATCATTGTATGTTCCCATAAAATGGTGAAATTGCTCTCTGCTTTTAGCCCATCCACCACCAGGTGGAGCAGTGGGCAGTTATTGAAAGTGCCCGGGGAGCAATTGGGGGACAGGGCGTCCTGCTCAGAGACACCACGAGATGCGCAATGACTGGGGATCAAACCTGGGACTTTTGGGTCCCGAGTCAGCTGACCTGCCTCTACCCCATCTTGGGCTGAAACAGCCAGGACAAACCGAAACATCTGGACTGAAACATCCAGGACCTGAGGCCTGAGCTGATGAAGCTGGTCAGAAACAGCTTGTTCTGTCAAGAAATTAAGATTTTCAGTTTTTTTTCCTTTCACTTTAATGAAAAGCAGTTTTAGTCTGTTTTTTTTTATTTTTTTTTAAGGAAAACATTTTAAAACTTCTATCTGATTCTGATCCGGTTGGTCCGTTTTACTGCCCTCTCTGATGCAGCTGAACAAACACCAGTCAGACCTCCTGTTTGCAGGAGGATGGATGTTGTCAGTATTTAAAATCTGCCTGTCTGTCTGTCAGTTCACCTGTCTGTCTGTCTGTCTGCCTGCCTGTCTGGTAGTCCACCTGTCTGTCTGTCTGCCTGTCTGTCTGTCTGTCAATCCACCTGTCTGTCTGCCTGTCTGTCTGTCCACCTGTTTGTTTGCCTGCTTGTCTGTCTGTCTGTCCGCCTGTCTGTCCATCTGTTTGTCTGTCCGCTTGTCTGTCCATCTGTCTGTCTGTCTGCCTGTCCGTCCGTCTGTCTGCCTGTCTGTCTATCTGTCCACCTGTCTGTCCGCTTGTTTGTCTATCTGTCTGTCTATCTGTCCACCTGTCTGTCCGCTTGTCTGTCTATCTGTCTGCCTGTTTGTCTGCAGCTTGGTCCAGACTCAGCAGAAAAGTTTCTGCTCATCATTAACTGAAATCTTCTGTCTGGGCTGATGGCGTCAGATGACCCGCCTTTAAACGGGAACAGGTCCAGTTCAAAGGTTCTGACCCGTGTACAGGAACGCTTGTCGCTCGCCGTCATGAACAAGAACTGAGGAGTCTGTGTTGGGGAGGACTCTCGGCTACTACCACACCAAACTCCAGCTCCATGTCTGTAAAAATAGCTGCGGTATGGTTGTATTTATGTTTGTCAAGTTCAGCTGGCTGTGGTGGCCATGTTGAATCAGGACAGTTTCTGTTCGGGGAGTTTTTATTAGAATGTGTCAGCTGTCATCCAGCTGCAGCCAGAGAGTTGTGGACGAGCCGATGGACGAGCCGATGGACGAGCCGGTGGACGAGCCGGTGGACGAGCCGGTGGACGAGCCGGTGGATGAGCCGATGGTCGAGCTGATGGACGAGCCGGTGGACGAGCCGGTGGACGAGCCGATGGACGAGCCGATGGACGAGCTGATGGACGAGCCAGTGGACGAGCCAGTGGACGAGCCGGTGGACGAGCCGGTGGACGAGCCAGTGGACGATCCGATGGACGAGCTGATGGACGAGCTGATGGACGAGCTGATGGACGAGCCGGTGGACGAGCCGGTGGACGAGCCAGTGGACGAGCCGATGGTCGAGCTGATGGACGAGCCGGTGGACGAGCCAGTGGACGAGCCGATGGTCGAGCTGATGGACGAGCCGATGGACTGCTTGAAAGGTTCGGCTTCTTTGTTATTTTCATGAGGAAGCTGACGTTTCCCTGCAGGGTGAGAGTTTTATGTGACTGAAACTCACGACCTCAGCCGATCCAGAGAAGCTTTGTCTTGTTCGGGTAAATGAAGGTTCTGCAGCGCCGACCCAACGTGGGGTGTAATTTTCCTTCTGAATTAAATGTCATGTTTTCAGTTTCCATGAATGGAGGTTAAAACCAGGCCGGCCTCTTCACATCGTATCAGCCCGATGATATTAAAATGTTAATGGATGTTTTTGTTACGCAGGAACCGCACGGTGGCCTGCGGGTCGCTTCGAAAGGTCCAGCATGAGTCTGGTGACGTGTGAGGGGCGACGCTGAAAACGACTGGATGTCTCGTTAGTGAGAACCACGTTGGTCTGATGAGAAAACTGAAGGAAAGAGGAGAAACAACTGGATCCTCAAACGGACCTGCAGCAGCCAAAGAGAAGCCTCAGCTTCCAGTCAGCGTCTGATGTTCTCTGGTGTTCTTGCTCCTTGAGAAAGAACGGCCATGTTTTATTTGGTTCATGAGGTCTATGACTCTGAACGTCCTGCTGAGACTTTCCACCGGCTCTTCAGATTCTTCCTCTCCTTGTTCCTCTGAGGTGTGGAAGAACTTCCTGCCTCAGTGCCTCCTTCCTTTAAGAGCTCCTGAGACGAGCTTCCTGTCAGAGGAACCTCGGTTCTGTTGAGGTTCTCTGCTGGCTCCTCTGGCAGACCTTCATCCCCCTCCTCCTCCTCCTCCTCCTCCTCCTGACAGTGACGTACGAGCTGCAGGACTGTTTCCTAATGGAACCAAATGAAAAGCGTTCTGCAGACCTGATGGCCTCCTCTTTCGTTAACCTTCACTTCTCGTTCTCCCGTGGACTCGTCAGGAACGCTCTTTGAAATGTCAGAGGACCTGAATATGTGAAGTGGAACCAGAGCTCAGTCCAGAGCAGACGGAGACACAACGATTAGATCCGCAGCAGAAATGTCGACGAGACGAGACACGACGAGACGAGACACGACGAGACGAGACACGACGAGACGAGACACGACGAGACGAGACACGACGAGACGAGACATGACGAGACACGACGAGACACGACGAGACGAGACGAGACAATGCTCCTCTGGTGAAAAAGTCCAACTGAGCTTCCTGCAGCCGCAGCAGAACCCAGAGATGATACGACCGATGACGGAGCAACACGACCTCTGCTTCACGAGGAGACACAAAACACTGCAAACACAAAGAGCATCCATCCACTCATCCATCCAGCATCCATCCATTCATTCATCCATTCATTCAGCATCCATCCATCCATCAAAATCCATCCATCCATCCATTCAGCATATATCCATCATCCATCCATCCATCAATCCATCATTCAGAATCCATCCATCCATCCATCTATCCATTCAGAATCTATCCATCATCCATCCAGCCATCCATCATCCATCCATCCATCCATCCATCCATCCAACCATTCAGCATCCATCCAACCAGCATCATTCATCCATCCATCCATTCAACGTCCATCCACCATCCATCCATCCATCCATCCATCCAGCATCCATCCATCCATCCATCCAGCCATCATCCATCCATCCATCCATCTACCATCATCCATCCATTTAGAATCCATCCATTCATCATCATTCATCCATCCATTGTCCATCCATACAACCATCTATCATCCATCCATCATCCATCCAGCATCCATCCATCCAGCATCCATCCATCCATCCATCCATCCATCCATCATCCATCCATCCATCCTTCACCCATCCATCCATTCATCATCCACCCATCGTCCATCATCCATCCATCACCCATCATCCATCACCCATCATCATACATCCATTCATCCCTAATCCATCCATCAATCATCCATCGATTCATTTTTCAAACCAGTTTCAATCCAGCTTCAGTCCAGTTCCAGACCCATCTCAGATTAGTTTTTGTACCTCGGGAGTCTTGGATCAGAGGAGAAACAGGACCATCCAGAAACCCTCACAGCATCGTTAAACTTTTGATGAACGGACCCTCCAGCTGCCCTTGGGTCAAATCGACCTACGAGGCCTCAGCTTAAAACTCAGACTTTGTTTGTTTGACCCAAGGGCAGCTGGAAAAATTAAATGTGTTCCCTACGAATGATTTCACCCACTGGGACAAGAACCCGGTCCAGTGGTACCAGAACAGTTCTGAATGATGTTTTCTGCTCTAACTGTGATCAGAACCGGTCCTGGACTCACCGCTGATGGTGGCCCTCTTGGGCAGGATGGTGATGGCGCCGACTGCAGCGTCCTCCAGCTGCTGGATCGGACTGTTCTTGGACCCCCAGCTGTCAGAACCGATCCACAGGAAGTGACCGATCTGATCCGCTCGCTTTGAGGCGTTCAGGATTCCTCTGGACCCAAACACAACACATCAGTCAGAACCAACACCAAAACCACCGGTTCTACTGCTGGTGACACCAACAGAACCTCACACACACACGACAGATGAGGCAACAAAATAAAAAGTTTCATCTCAAATTAATCTGTTGGAAAAATAGAAAATTATATTTAATCAGAACCGGTTCTGACTGAGAGCAACCAGAACCGTGTGTAGATAAGGAGTGTTGGGTACCTGATGTCTTCGTCAGAGGCAAACAGAACCACGGCCCGGGCGTATCGGGTCTCCAGCAGCTGGCGGATGGTTTTATCGAAGTCGGAGGGTTTGTGGTCGTGAGGAATCTTCAGGGACTGAGCGATGCAGATCTCACCTGAGGAGAACGAACACCACAGGTGAAGGTTCTGACGTTGGTTCTGGTTTCATGTTTGGACCTGATCAGGATCAGCGTGTGACCTGCAGACATCATCAGCTTCACAGAGAGAGGGTTCTGTCTGCAGAGCGGGTCCGAACGGAGCTTTGATGTTCTGCTGCTGCCTGAACCTGCTCTGATCGGGAGGAAGATGATGATGATGATGAACGCGGTCAGAACCTCTGACCCGAACCATTTATCTGAAGAAATAATCCTTAAAATCTGATGTTCCGGACAGTCTGCAGAGAAACAGAACCGGTACATGACAGAGAACTGGGTCAAAGGTTCTGAGACACAAAGACCTGAGTCCACAGCTTCAGAACCAGAACCCAAGTCCAGAACGTGGGTTTCTTCAAACCCTGGAACATTCTTTAATTCAGTTGCATTTGGATCCAAATGCTCGGCAGAAACAGAACCTTTTAAAGAGCTGACTGTGGAGCATCTGGATCAGAACCAGAACCACGGGCAGACTTCAGAACATCTCAGAAACTTCAACCTGTTGGGTTTAATCCCACAGTTCTGCTTTGGTTCTGGTGTCAACTGGACCGAACATCTGAGGCCCAGCATGTGCCGGAGGTTCTGCCTGGAGTTTGGTTCTAAAACCAGCACAGAACAAGTCCAGAAGGTCCAGGAGGTCCAGAGGTCCAGCACTCAAAGTATCTTTTTGATTGTCTCATCTTTAAATTATTTTAGTTTTTACGGACCAGAACTTCTTCAGTTTGTCGTTTAGCTCAAGCAGAACAAACCGGGCTTTTTGTTCTGATCAACTAAACTAACGCTTTGTCATCATTTCTCTCAGAAAGTTGAGTTTGGGTCAGAACGACGTGCAGGGACAGTCAGAGGGACACACGGTCCTCATGAGATTATCAGACCATCAGATGGGTCTGACGGGTCAGACGGGTCAGATTATCAGACGAGTCAGATTATCAGACAGGTCAGATTATCAGACGGGTCAGATTATCAGACGGGTCAGACGGGTCAGATTATCAGACAGGTCAGATTATCAGACGGGTCTGACGGGTCAGATTATCAGAAGGGTCAGATTATCAGACGGGTCTGACGGGTCAGATTATCACAAGGGTCAGATTATCAGACGGGTCAGATTATCAGACGGGTCTGACGGGTCAGATTATCAGACAGGTCAGATTATCAGACGGGTCTGACGGGTCAGATTATCAGAAGGGTCAGACTATCAGACGGGTCAAATTATCAGACAGGTCAGACATGTCAGATTATCAGAAGGGTCAGATTATCAGACGGGTCTGACGGGTCAGATTATCAGACGGGTCAGATTATCAGATGGGTCTGACGGGTCAAATTATCAGACGGGTCAGATTATCAGACGGGTCAGATGGGTCAGATTATCAGACGGGTCAGATTATCAGACGGGTCAGATTATCAGATGGGTCAGATTATCAGACGGGTCAGATTATCAGACGGGTCAGATTATCAGATGGGTCCGGCAGCAAAACGTTTGTAAAATGTGACTTTTGGAGTTTGGGTCCAGTTTTCAGTCAGAACTCAGACTGAAGCTCTGGTTTCTTGGTGTCAGTCTGGTTCTGTTTGGTTCTGCTGCTGCTCACGTGTGCAGACCCGACTGCTGGTCAAACATCGATCGCAGACGTTTTAGGAGGTCCTGAGCAGATTTCTGATTGTTTGATCTCAGCTGGGTGAAACCGGCTGCGGCTCATTGCAGCTAATTGGATCCACATAATCGCTGGAATTATTCCTGATCTAATTATTCCTCGTGTAATTCCTGATGAATTAGAGCCACAGGTTAGTGAGCAGCTACACAGATTAGGAACAGATGTTCTTGTCATACAACAGGACGAGGTCCAGAGGTGATGAAACTTTGCGTGTAACTCGCTTCTTATTGGCTGTGTCGCCATGGTAACGCTCAGCTGCTGTACGTATTTAGAAAGACACGGGACAAGACCAGAATGTGGTGATTAATCTGAATCAAACTGGAAGCAGTGTGAACAACAACCAGAGACGTCTTCTGGTGATCCAACAGAATCAGAACGTGTTTTAATGTTCAGGTGTGTTTGGGCCTGCCTTTAGAAAAGCTCAGTGCACCGGTCATCCACCTAAAATCCTCCAAAGTTACTTCCTAAGATGCTCAGGCTCAAAAATCACAAACTGTCCGAGTTTAAAAGCAGAACGTCACTCGGGTGTTTATGTTTGTAAAGTCACTGATTGGACTCATCAGACCTCCTGCTGCTGATTTTCTGAGTGAAAGTCTTCCTCGAGAGCTTTCCTGGAATCAGCTGAAGCACCGTCTGATCGGAGAAGGTTCTGGAGCGTCAGAGTGAGAGATGAGATGTTTTGACTGAGCTGTCAGTCAGGAAGAAAAGCAGATAAACGAGTTGGTTCTCTGTGTCTGAACGACTCGGACTCTTTCATGGTTTTAATGAACTCAGACATCAGCACGGCTTCATCACGTACTGATTCTGTCAGAAGATCCTTTTTATCTTCAGGCACTGAGGTGGAAAGTTCTGCAGGACAAATGCTGAATGAAGCGGAAACCATAGAGAAAATAATAAAACTGGAGTTTTCACTGAGGTTCAGGTTCACAAGAAGTACTTTCACTGGGATTCAGAACAAACCAGAACCATAAATCCAACTTACACCTCATGACTCCTGTTAGAAGCCTCTGAGCATACAGGAGGACGGCCCAAAGGCTATAGGAGGAGGATTCTCAAGCTATAGGAGGGCGATCATCAAGCATAGGAGGGCGATCCTCAAGCATAGGAGGGCGATCCTCAAGCATAGGAGGGCGATCCTCAAGCATAGGAGGGCGATCCTCAGGCATAGGAGGGCGATCATCAAGCATAGGAGGGCGATCCTCAAGCATAGGAGGGCGATCCTCAAGCATAGGAGGGCGATCCTCAAGCTATAGGAGGGCGATCATCAAGCATAGGAGGGCGATCCTCAAGCTATAGGAGGGCGATCCTCAAGCTATAGGAGGACAATCGTCAGGCTATAGGAGGACAATCTTCAAGCTTTAGAATGATGGCTCTCAAGCTATAGGAAGATGTTCCTCAGTCTATAGGAAGATGATGCTCAGACTATAGGAGGATGATCATCATGCTATAGGAGGACAATCCTCAGTCTATAGAAGGATGATTATCAACCTATAGGATGACAATCTTCAGGCAATAAGAGGACGATTCTCAGGCTACAGGAGAACGATTCTCCTGCTATAGGAAGACGATTGTCAGGCTATAGGAGGCCAATTGTCAGGCTATAGGAGGCAGATCCTCAGGCACTTAGGAGGACAATCCTCAAGCTATAGGAGGATGATCATCAGGCTATAGGAGGATGATCATCAGGCTATAGCAGGACAATCCTCAGATTATAGATATTTTGCTAACAGACAGACACTGGGTGATAGAGCAGAGGATGGCAGTGCCTTTGTTAAAGAATTGTTCTGATTCTGCAGCTGCAGGACTTGAAGTTGCAGCGAGTATTTCCCGAGTTGTAATGATGCTTTCTTATTTTAGATTTCATTAAATCTACATGTTGTCCACACTCCGGTGTTTAAAGGGTTAACTTGCGATTGAAACTGATTCAATAAACGAGCCGTTAAATGAGAGAGTTCCACATGTCTTTGCCCAACAGATGGGTCTTTTGAAAACCAGAGATATTTTTGTTTTTGGCTCTGCAGCCAGCAGGGCTGAGTTTTCCTCCCGGCTTGTTTTCAGATTCCTCCTCAGACCTGCATCACTTCCCTGACTCACAGGTGGAAGAAACACCTGAAGCCTTCGTTAACGTGTGAAACTGGACTCGTCTTTGTGTCTGACGGCTGACTAATGAGAGGCAGAGTTTGACTTTCCTGCAGCTAAAATCCAAAGAGTCACGATTCACACTCAGCTGATGAGTCACCAAACCTTCATCCTCCTAATGACCTGTAACCTGACTCACAGGTCTGCAGGAAGCCTTCAGAACCGGACCTGCAAACAAAACACGTCACAGATCCTCAGACATTTCAGCAGAGAGAGTGCTGCAGCAGGAGGAGAAACCCACACGCACCAACAAACGTCCCTTTAAAGGGTTCTTTGTTCACTTGTGATGCATGAAGATGCGCTCCCCTGACTATGACCTCTGACCCTTGGCTTGTCTACCAGATTCACCCTGAGCTGCTACATGAGATGTGTTTTTGTGGCAGCGTGTCAAACACCTCCGGAGGGTTCGGTTTGTGAACGTCACAGCTGACTCACTGTGTTTCTGCAGAATAAAGGTGCGTTTGTTTTGCTGAACTAATGAAGCAGGAGCCGGGGACCAGACAAGATACACGCCGGCGTTTTTCTCTGTGAGGCTGAGATGCTGTGACTAAAATCTGTGGAAGATCTGCAGCTCACACCTGAAATATTCATGTTGCTTTGACTTACATAACTGCAGCCGGCGAGAAGCTGTAAACTTCTCGTTGTAACGCTCGTTCTCAGATTAGCCAGATTAACTCGGCTCCTGGGATGAAAGGGTGTCAATCAATCAGCTGCAGGCAGAGGAGAGGAAGCGGCTGGATCTGTTGGACATGTTGGGATGTAAGATGTTCTGGTGGGACACATTTCTGAACAGGAACATCTCTGAATGACCAACAGACCTCCCCCCAGTCACCGACCAACCTCCTCCTAGGTCCAGATTAACGTCCAATCACTGGCCGATCTGCCAATGAATCTCCAACTGATCTCCTCCGCACCACTGACTGATCTCACTCTGGTTCTTCTGAGCTGCCATCATGTCCTGGTTTGTCAGATGTAGAGCAGCTCTCCTCCTCCTCCTCCTCCTCCCTCAGGTCTGGGTGTTTCATGAGCGACAAACACTAACAACCTGCTGATTGATGCCTTCTGGGACTGCCAGGTAATCACATCACAGAATTAGACTGCATTAACTGGTGCACCGCTTCTCAAATCTCTGCTGCTTAATGAACACATCAATAAACACACGGAGGGTTAGGGAGGAGGAGGAGGAGGAGACAGAACCTGGAGAGCTGCTGAGTAAAACAAGCAAACAGCTCCAAACATCTCACCAACCCAACCCAATCCATTATTACATCCAGAACGATCCTGTTTCATTTGAAATCTGACCACAGATGAGATTTTTCTGATCCACGTGGAGAACCTTCACCTAAAACACAGAAATGTCCACATGTTCTCTGCTGCACGAAACAGCTGGAACATGTGAAGAACTCGGCAGCAGCTTCTGATTTAAACATCGTCTTTATTTACACTCTGTGTTTGACTGACAGTCCGGCTGAGCTGAGGAGACACTGAGGTCATTTAGACCTCCGCGGAAAATATTCAATCAGGGCGGAATGAAATAATAAACTGAGCGAAAAAAGTTTTGTAAGCTCAATCGTCCAGGTAGATAACAATAAAAATGGTTAAATCTTATCATCTGGACCTGTTTCTTTAAGAGAAGAAACGTTTCGTCCCCCATCCAGAGGACTTTGTCAGTCTGCGGCCTGCCAACCAGATCTGTCCCATGAGTAGCCTTCATTGCTGTGGATTTCTGCAGAACTCAAACCGTTGAACATTTCTGCAGCTCCTTACAGAACCTTACAGAACTCTGTACCCACAGCAGGAACTTGAACATCTCCTCCACCCTTCAAACGGGTCACTGACAGAAACTGAACTCCTGCTGCCGGAACACTGAAACCAAACAGAACCTGCAGCGGGTCGAGCTGGAACTCTCAGAATGTTGTGATGACGTCATTAGTGCTGCTGATTACACTCTGAAGTGTTTCTGACATTTGGATGATATGAGTAGGATGGCACCATTCTGCTTTGTTGCTCTACCATCTGGACAGGGCCATCTGCAACGTCGCTCTACTGTCAGGATGAGGTCATTCTGTGAAGTCACTCTACCGTCAGGACGGGGTCATTCTGCAATGTCGCTCTACCTTAAGGATGGGGTCATTCTGCGATGCCCCTCTAGCATCAGGATGGCATCATTCTGCATTGCTGCTCTACCTTCTGGACAGGGCCATCTGCAATGTTGCTCTACTGTCAAGATGAGGTCATTCTGCAAAGTCGCTCTACTCTCAGGACGGGGTCATTCTGCGAAGTCGCTCTACCTTAAAGACTGGGTCAATCTGCGTTGCTGTTCGTTCATCAGGATGGCATCATTCTGCGTTGCTGCTCTACCATCAGGATTGGGTTATTCTGCAACACCGCTTTACTGTCAGGATGGCACCACTTTGTGAAGTCACTACCTTCAGGATGGCACTATTCAGCATTGTTGCTCTACCATCAGGACAGGATCATTCTGCGACGCCGCTCTACCATCAGGATGTGATGATTCTGTAACATTCTGTTTCACCTCCTTGGAACAGATGGTGTCCTGACATTTACATGTTGGGCCTTTTGGGGATTTTGAAAGGACACGACACCTTCAGGAAGCACTGAGGATATCCACACATCAGATGTTTATAGCAGGATAAATGAAGCATTAATGATCTGTGGCAGCTCAGAGTTTGACTGGACCTCCCCCGGTGTCATCAGAACCTGGACTTTATCTGAGCAGCAGGTTCTCTCTGAAGGTAAAGACCTCCCACAAGCTCCAGTTTTTAATTGAAATGTCAGATTAAAGCTGATCAAGCTGGAGCAGCTGAGAAGGTCTCGTTGATACAAAACCAGAAGATCAATCTGTTTGTTTCAGAGCAGAAATCATGAGGAAATGTTTTAACTTAAATTAACTCGTTTAAACCAACATTTTGGCTGGAAGACGACCAGACTTTTCTTTTCTTCGTTGAATGTTCCCTGTCTAAAAGCACTGAAGCTTCCTGAAGACTGAATGATTCACTGAGTTAAGAAATGTTTGATTTAGTGATTTGAAACAGATCCAGCTGCTCTATGTGATGCAGACGGGTTCTCCTCTGACACCTGATAAAGCAGATGCTCCACTGGCTCCCTGTTAAGTTCAGAATTGAATTCAAAATCTTACTTCTAACCTACAAAGCCCTCAACAACCTAGCTCCATTTTATATTACAGATCTTATTGTCCCATATTTTCCTAACAGAGCACTTCACTCTCAGACTGCAGGTTTACTTGCAGTTCCTAGAGTTTCCAAAAGCAGAATGGGAGGAAGGTCTTTTATTTATCAGGCTCCTCTCTTGTGGAACCAACGTCCAGTTTCTGTCCGTGAGGCTGACACATTGTCCAGTTTTAAGACTGGGATTAAGACTTTCCTTTTTCATAAATCCTATAGTTAGGGTTGGCTTGTTATGCTGCATTAAGCTTAGACTACTGGAGGACAAACTGACCTCATTTTGCTTCAATTAATTGTTAAAATTAATAGTTTTCATTTGGTACTATTTCTATCTTAACGTGATTCTTGACCTGCCATTGTGTATCTGTTCCTCTCAAGCCCAGCCGTTCGAAGCAGATGGCCGCTTGCCCTGAGCCTGGTTCTGCTAAAGGTTTCTTCCTCATGAGGAAGTTTTTCTTTCCACTGTCGCCTTCATGCTTGTTCAAGATGAGAGTTCTGTGATGGAGTTAAACTCAAAGCAGTCTGCTCCTCAGATAAATACTGTTAACATTTTTAAATCACTTCTTGGTCTGCTGCCTTCATACATCTCCTCCTACATGTCTCTGCGTGAGTGCAGCTACAGCGTGCGCTCTCAGGACATTATTACCTGCAGAGTTCCCTCAGTGAGGACTGAACTAGGCAAAATGGCCTTCTCCTACTCTGCTCCTGTTTCCTGGAATATCTTCAAAAAGATCTGAAGCTCTCGACCTTGACCTCTCTAAGTGGCTTCAAGCATCTGTTAAGTTCCTGAGAAAAACCAGCACAGACATGTTCCTGTTTTTAGTATTTTAAATCGCTTTATAATGTAGCTGTTTTTGTTTCCTTTTCTTATTACCATTTTATTTCATTTATTCTTCTAAATTTGCATGATTTCTTTTATGATTGTCTACTGTTGTCATCACTCTTTGTTAAAAATTCAGGTCTCTCTTGTAAATGAGTCCCTTAGGCTCAATGGGATTAACCTGTGTAAATAAAGGTTGAATGAATGAAACTTATTTTGATACATATGAATGTTTCTGTTCAGTGACCTGAGACGACTTCTGTTATGACTTGGTGCTTTATAAATAAACTGAATTCAATTGAATCAGAACTGATTCTTCCTGCAGAGGATGAAAAGTTTTGACCCGTTGGTGCAAACTTAGGTCAAAGGTCAGAGTTCGAATGGGGCCAAGTCCAGATCTGATAGTACAAAGTTTGGGTTTGGCTCCAAGCCTGACAGGAAGTAGTTCTAATAGGTTCCTCTGTGCACGTTCGTGCGTGTTATCTGCAGATTAGGAAGTAATCCAGTTCATATTGATCTGAGGAGGTCCAGTTTCTCAGCTGACAGGCTCCCAGACTGAACCTGAGCTGCAGAGAGACTCGGGTTAATGAAGCGGGTCATGGACCTGAAGGCTTTCACAAACAACAGCAGAAAGAAGAATTCATTAAAAACATCACAAAAAGATAAAAACAATAAAAGCAGAACACGTTGAAAAGTCCTGGTCCTTCAGACTCTGGACCTGGACTTGAGCCTGAGCTCAGACTAATGCTGCTGGACTTCCTGCCTCACCTGCTGACGTTTGATTCGACATTAAAATCACAAAATCAAAATAAAAGCAGTTGTTTGTTCAAACATGTTGAACTAATGATTAATCAGCTGATTCTACTTTTCTGATCTCAGATCAGCATCTGCAGCAGAAACATGTAAAATTTGAACATGCACAAGGACTGTAAAGTTTACAGCTCCATACAAACATGCACGAGGACTGTATAGTTTACAGCAGCATACGGACGTGCACAAGGACTATAAAGTTTACAGCAGCATAAGGATGTGCACAAGGACTGTAAAGTTTACAGCAGCATACAAACATGCACAAGGACTGTAAAGTTTACAGCTCCATACAAACATGCTCAAGGACTGTATAGTTTACAGCAGCATACAGACGTGCACAAGGACTGTAGAATTTACAGCAGCATACGAATGTGCACGAGGACTGTAAAGTTTACTGCAGCATACGGACATGCATGAGGACTGTAAAGTTTACAGCAGCATAC